TTTCATTTACCCATCCACTGACTCACATTCTCCAAACCATTAAATGGCCCTAGAGATAGGAGCTCAAAGATTCCTGGTCCACAGGCCACGTGTCACCCTCCCCAAGTCTCCCTTCTACTCCCTCAATGAATGCCATTTCACAGGCCAGAGGAATCTTGGGGTTTTGGCTTCACTGCCTTTCACGTCCTTTTCCAATTTCCAAATCTGAAAAGTCACTGTGGCATCTAGCATTTTTAACAGCTTAAAAATTCACGGATTATTCCAGCAACTCTGTTCTCATAAAGTAGCTACCAATTATTACCCTATTTACAAAGAAGAAAATGTAAATGAGGTGGATAGGTGCTTTTTGCCAATATCAGTGACAGAAACAGGAAATGAAAATGATTTTCTAGATTTCATTTAGGGATGTATTAAAAAGACGACGGTCATCAACAATTTCTTTCCGGTATTTCCTGTAACTTCTCAGAACAGACGCTGTAATCAGAAGTAGGGCTGATTAAGAGATTTGGATAACCGACCAGCAGCAGTGGGGTGCTGGCTGAGGCGGAGGGTCAGTCACTACTCCATGAAATATTGCCCCATGTAGCTTATCCAGCTTTTAAATTTAAGCTAGTCAGTATTACAGCATTTTGGATTCTGATATCCTCATTTCTTCTAAAGTCCTGAAAAAATATCAGTATTTATGATCAAACTGACCTTTTCATACTCTGTTCTTCCCAGAGCAGACAAAAAAACCAATGAGCAAGAGAGGTACTAGGAACTCCAAGTCACTGGGAGCTCTCAGAGCCTGCACCACTGGAAGTGGTTTTACAACCACCTCTTCTGGTCCTATGAACAGAGTTCACGTTCTTCAGAAGGTGCTAGAGAGAGAAGCGGCTTGAGAAATGCTGAATTTGCCTCAACTCAACTCACTAGCCTGAGGTGGACAGAAGCCCTTCACATTTTCAGGATTCAGCTGATGAAGGACAGAGCTTATCCATGGGTAATGTGCTAGAAGAACAAGGCTTCTGGCATCTAAACCTCCAGCACATCACAAACTTCCTGCTATTATCTAATATCCCCCCAACTCAGCCATCACTGTTTCCATGGTAACCGACAGAGAAATAGCAGCCTGCCAAATGGCTTTTGTAGTTCCTTTTCCAGCTTGTTTTTCAGTATAGAATTAAAGCTAGCTGGGAAAAGAACCAGCCTCATCTTTACAGCAGGGACACGACGCATTTTGGAAAGTACAACTGGGTCTGGGACAAGGAGTATAGATAAACTTTAATGAGCCCAGCTTGAAGGAATAAAAAAAGGGTCTTGGTTTCTAAAAAAGTGTCCACCGAAGTATATTTGGTACGCTTTACTTTTGTCTTGAGAGAGTATATCCTGACACTGGCCAGTAGACAGATATGGTGCTATTCACTCTGTCTTTAACTGAATTAACAAAAGAAGGAATGGGGTGAATGGAACAGCAAGATCGGGCAAGTTTCCTCGGCCACCGAGTACCTTGTTGTCATTAAAGGAAATGGTAATTTACTCTAAAATCAAAATGAATGGGCAGGAGTGGACTGGGTTGGACTAGAGGACACTGAAGCAAGATTCGCAGCTTGGAGGGGTGAAACGTTTACCCCAGGGACGAGGCCTGCATGAGGCCCGCTGAGCCGACTGCATGAGTCAGAAGGCACTCGGACTTAGGAAACAAAGAGCTCCTTGCCGTCTCAGCACAGGCAAAACAGTGAGGAATGCCGTGTGCAGAACCTGGGCGGCCTGCAGAAGATCAGCAGCTACAGAGAGCGGCCGAAGGTGCCAGAAGGCACAACGAACGGCTGCTGCAGGCTGGAGGGGAGGGCAGGAAGCAACGACAACAAAGTGGCCCCAAACAGATGCTTTTCTGTCTCAAAACCGCATACCTGAATAAAGTACACAGAAATCTCAGGACTCTTCTATGTCACTTTCAGATGAGAAACTTTGACTCAAGTCAAACAGGTATTCAGCTTCTCTTCTGATAGGTAAAAGCGAACCAGATTTTGAAAGAGATTCCCTCCTACAACCTCTAACAGACTCTGAATGTCTTGTTGACAGACATGAAAATTACAGCCTATAGTGGCATATGAAGTTCGGTTCCTAAGCGTTTCCTGACAGAAAGTCAGGCTCCTACAAATTCTGCACAGAAGACTAACGTAATTTATACTTTTTTAATTTATGCTTTTACCTTGAGTTATATGAATCATGAGTCATGCTCTCAGAACCCTCACCGGAGTTTAGAAAGAAAAGTAGACACAGATTTGCAAAAACCACTTCCTTTCAATCCTTCAGAAAAGGGATCGTTATAATAAGACAGAGCTGATGTACTCTAACACACATGCCTAATGCTGTCAACTCTAAGAAAGGCTTCTGTGCTTCTGCTTTAGCTAGATTTGTGCAGCCCTAGATTTTGGAATCTGTTAAAGAAACCTAAATGAGTCCTTCCAAAAGTTTAAACTTGGGTCTTGTTTACCCAAGAATGGAACTTACAGCTTCTGGCGGGGGGTAGGGGGCATTTTTAAACTGTACTCAGTAATGCATGATGATCATTTCCAATATATAAACCTTCAATTTTCCCATCTTAAACAAAAGCCAGAACTGAAGGGATATACAATTATATCAAACTCAGTCATAGTTTAGATTATGCAGGAAGCCAAGACTTACTGGAGTCAATAGCCAGAGGTACGGTACTGACACCTTCATACTTCCTCCCAAATCTGTGTCCTCAGCCAACTTTGTTTTAAGATCTCAGGTGAATTTTCTTACTTAGGAGGTCTATATTTTTATTAAATCAGCCATCATAGGTATATTACAGATTCCCCGGCTACTGGCAGATAATTAAAGGGACAGTACCACACTTTTAGTATTTCATGGCCTGTGCGTTCACTATACTCATCAAAATAAACTGTAAGAAGCCTTGAGAAGATAAAGCTTCAGTATGGGTGGTCTCCCTCTTAAACTGAGATTTTCCTCCAAATGGTTGCCTTCAAGGCTGTGTGGTAGTTGTATTATCCATCCATTCATTAACCTGTAACAGACATCAGGTATATTACCAAGAAAGAGCTCTTGGTCACCATGACTAATGTTTTTATATGAGAAAAAGAAGACCTTCGGCTGCCTGGAGGGGAAATGGAATGGGGTGTATCCTGAGCACCAGAACACTGCTAATGCTTAATGGCTGGAAACTGCTTCTACAGTAAAACTAATTATCCAGAAAGCATGCTTTGGGAATCCTTAGGCTTCAAATCTATAAATAGGCCAAAAATGTTTTTAAAAGGGGGGTGGTGGTGGTGAATGGATGTGTGTAAAGAAACAGTAACTGAACACTTAAAATACCTGGCAACAAAGAAAAAACCACCAAGAACGAGAGGCTAGGATTACACCAAACATTATACTGCATCTAGCACAGCTTACGTGCCAGTCAGAGAGGGGGAAGGAGAACTCCCACAGGAAGGCACAGCACCAGCATGTGCTAGATCATAAGCTCCAGGAGGGAAAGGGGGATTTTATCTCACTCAATCACTGCTACTGCCCCGGCTCCCACGGCCATGCCTGACAAAAAAGTCGGTGTTCCTTAGGCCCGGCTTGAGAAGAGCACCTGAACTTAAAATGAGACACAAGGTGTTCCTCTGCTATTCACATAACACGAGTCTTCCCAAGGGCAGGATGAATTATTCACATAATTTAACTGGGTTTTAACTAAGTGGAAGGCTACATATAAAGCACAGCCATACCCGAAGAGAATATGGCAAAGGTAGGGTTGTCTGCTTCTCAAGTGGTACTCCTGGCGTGTGAGAAGGCTAATCACCCATGGAACTGTGAAGTCTATTCCAAGTGCTGAGGAACCAGTTCACCCTGTAACTCACTGGCAACTGACGAGCCCCCTGCTGACTCAGACCAAAGGAAACCTAATGGATGGAAATAACACCAACAAAAGCTGCTTAATGGCGTAAATGCAAATAACACAATATGCTTCAAAATACCATGCTTGGAAACTGAAATACATGCCAGGAAAAGAGCCCGGCCCATTAACCATGTTCTTAGAAGCAGCATATCTGATGAAGAACCAGACATGAGCCCTGACACACTAACTGTTTGGTCTGGATTAGGTCATATTCTAAACACAGCCTTATAAGCCCTTCTGCACGGACTGGGTCTGCTTTAATGTGATAAGCTAATTGATCGGGAAGCTTGGTAAGAAAAAGACACAAAGATAGTAAGAGAATCTGGGAGAGGTTTGCTCTTTTGAGTTCCTACTATTCTTCTATCTATCTTAGTTCTAAGGTCCTATAATTTTTGGATTTAAGAAAGAAAATTAACGGTCATGTCCCTCAAATGTCATGTAATACAGGTAAAAGCGGGGACGGAAAACTAAAGTCATTACAGTTTAGTCCCTGCTTCTCCAAACTTGGACAGACCACCACCTCTGATAATTTGGCTTGAGTATCTATTTTCTGAAAGAATTACAGGTTCATCTGTATGTCAGAAGATGGCTAAGAAGGCAAGGAGTATGCTTTCAATGTTCCCTCACAGAAAAGAGGCAAGACAGCTATGCAGAAGACTTCCATACGACAAGGTCCCAGGGGCATCTTCCTCACACCATCTTCCTTTCCCATCTCGCATCTACTAGCTTGAGCCTTCCCTTTATAAGCTCTCCTTCACAGCATTTATCATAATTCTAATTATTTCAATAATTATTTCAATATCCCCTATGTCCATGAGGACAGGGATTGTGTATGGTCCTTTCCACCCAATGGAAACGGGCCCCTGGCACCTGGCACCTGGGAAGCAGTTTCTGCTGGGTAAGATGATGAATGAATGAATGAAGGGAGGGAGGGAGTCTAATGTTAACCATGGGGTAGGCGATCAGTTGAAAACATTTCAACAATAAAACACGTACTCCCATTCTCTAAATCTGAACACAGGAGCTTTACAGGGCGCTACGTTTTTCACAAAGTATTAGAAGGCAGGAAAAACTTAAAGCGAATACTCACTGGTGGGGGTTTCCTTCTCATCTCAAAAGTGCGTGTGGCACCAAAGCTCAGTGAAGCGATGACGGGACATCTCCCTAGCGAAGGTTCATCGTCGCTGTGCCAGTCAACACCGTCCTTCTCGTTTCGGTACAAATTGCAGAGCAAGGAGTTGAAGGTGTGGCCAGTGTTTTCTTCGATTTGGTCCTTCAGTGTGCGCAGCACAGGATGCCACTGCAATCGGGAGGCCAAGAGAAAGGGCAGAGATGGTTCCCATCAGACACAAGGTGGCAGCCACAGGTAAAACGGGAGGCAGGGTAAAATCGGTCATGCTACGAACAGGGGCATGGAGTAAGCAAAACGCAGGGAATGCGACAGCCACAGGCAAGAGGAGTCGATTCCCGCCCATTATTTCTACTTCGATGCAAGCTGACCTCCACGATTTCATTAAGGTACTAAACTTGGTGTAGCAACGTCATGAGGACCAACCCTCTCTTCCCATCTCATCCTTTCAGTCCGTGCGAAACTCACGACCGTCATCACGGTCAGGCAGTAAGGAGGTAAGTGGAGTGCGGAGCCCGGCTTGCCGCCACAGCCGATGGGCTGCCAGGATATTGGCAGATACAGACTGAAGTCTGAGGAGGGAAACAACTTTCCTGCTGGGTGGCCCTCTTCATTCGACTCCTATTTTATCACGAATGACAGAATTGCTTTTAAAAAAAGATATTCAGTATTTCCAGAGTGGCTAACTTCCTAAAAATAGAACCAAAGGGAAAAAAACATTCTACAGAATAGAATTATGATGGGGCCCTGATAAACACCTGGGCCGTGAGCTATAGACAGTTTACACAGATGCCACAGCCCTGCCTCCTGAGCACCCAGTCCACTCGTGTGGTTTGTCTCTTAAACTCATGTCTTGCCACATGCAGTACAGGAAGCTATGACCCACGACCTTAGGTTGTAGCTGGGAGCTACAATCAGCATAGCTTGTATTAGTTCTTGTTAGAATTCTGACTTCCTGCCACAAAACCTCAAGTACTTTACAGAACTTGCTTTTTTTTTTTTTTTTTTAAATAAAACTTCCTTTTAGGACAGTTGTTCTCACACCCCTATCAAAAATTGAGGACCTCAAAGAACTTCTGTTTATATGGGTTACAGCTATGATGTTTATCATATTAAAAATTAAAACCTAAAAAAGTTAAACTATTGATTAATTCATTTAAAAAATACAAACCCATGACATGTTAACATAAACGTTATTTTACAAAAAATAACTCTATTTTCCAATACAAAAATTGGCACGAAGAGAGTGGCACTATTTTGCGAATTTCTTTACTGTTTGGCTTCACTGAAGAGAGGTGATTCTCACATCTACTTCTGCCTTCAGTCTGTTACAATATGTTGTTTTTGCTAAGTATGTGAAGAAAATTGGCTTCACATGAATATGTAGTTAGAAAAGGGCAGGAGTCTTTTCCAGCCTTTCCAAATAATTGTGGATATTCTTTGCTATTACACAAAAACTCAACAAGTACTGACTTCCTAAAGGTCGGCTGCAGTGTGGAACTGGAAACCACACCAACAATTACATTTAAATCTACTGGTCCGGCTTGCACTTCAAATAAGTCTTTTAATCTTTCATGATTCTATAACATCAAGCATTGGTCATGTGGAAAATACTGATCCAATGAGTAATACAGACAGACATTACTGTTGACACATTTCATTGTACAATCTTAAAAAATCATATCCATTAATATCAGCACTGATCTCATCAGAAAAGACTAAGAGAAATAGAAATAGAAAGAGGTCAGGATCAAAGTGGCGGGTATGACTTTTTCCAAAACTCTAATTCTCTTGAAAACTCAACTTTTATAAGTAACAAAACCTATCCATTGTTTTCCTTCAAGGGACACTCACTTCACTCATTTATGAGAAAATGGCAACCAAATACTCAAGCCGGAATAACTATAGTTTGTCTGCTAGTTGTTCTTCCAAACAAAAATGGTCCACGATAGAAGTGGGCAGTTCAGCTCTAGCTTGAAGAATCATACAAGTGTTTTGCGCCTTGACAACCATCACACTTGGCTTGTAGCAGGACTGCTTTATGCATACTTTCCATTTCATCAAACTATTAGAGAGACATGAACCCAAACACTGAGATTTAATAAAACTAATAATGTTTATTGCTTTGAGGAACGTTCTTAAATGAAACCAGCCTTTTTTTTTTTTTTAACCAGAAGTGAATGGTGGTGAAGAATACCATGATAGTAAAGTTTGATGACAATGACCTGACTGATGCTCAAGCACCAGAAGTTTTACCCACCATTACTTTCGTATCATCAGTGAAAATTCGACAGAGTGAAAACGTCACACTCGCCAAGTATGATATAAATAGTTTTGACCTGTGCACTTCCCAAAAGGATTTCATGGACCCCTTCAGGTATCCACTGATTTTATTTTAAAAACTCTACCTTACAGAACACCTTCAAAATCAGGTTCTATGTATGCTAGTGAAGGAAGAGATGTTCAGCAAAGGAAAACATAATATTTTAAGTATATCCCACAGCTACTGTCAGGTAAAACTGCCAAGCAAGCATATGTGGGAATCACTCAGCTTTGCTGTGATGTAGCAATCGTGGTAAGCTGGGATTCCTTATTACGGATACTAGCATTACATTCTAAGCAGAGAATTTTTTAAAATAAACAATGACAACAACAAACCAAACTTAGATCAGTAAAACAGAAATGTTATTAAACTAACCTATGTTCTAGAGAATAAATTTCAAAGGGAACTTTCCTAATAATGTTAGCAAGCTGTATTTCCTATTTATTTTATGGCTTTAAGCTTATCTTCATGGAGATAAAGATCAGATGCTAGAATTATACACTTAGCAAGAAAAACAAGAATGTAAAAGAGGAAGATAGCTTTTTTGCAATGTGACTGAAAAACTAATTAGCACTTCCCTGACTTGCTTAGGGACTGAGTACTGTGATAACTCCAAGTTTGCTTTATGTTTCTAAGTGGGTATATATTTTTACTGGTTATTTTTGGTGGTGAAGTAAGGAGAAAAAAAGGGGATAATGAACTAGAGGATTAATTTAGACTCTCCAACCAATACTCTATATACAGATCCCTCAGAACTGAATGTCTAAATTAAAATTCAGCATCATCTCACTGTTCAGTGAAGACATTCTATCCTTAAAAGACATTTGAGGAAAAGAGTATGAGAAAATATGAATCACAGAAGTGAAAGGACCTATTCAGTGGATTTCAAAAAGTGTTTTGTAGAGTCTTAGGTACCACAAAGGTGTCTCTGGAAATTCAGTAGGAGAAAGGTGAGGTCAAGCTGGTGGGACTCCCAGCCAGTCAAGGCACTTCTTTATTTTCATACACTGGGTTCATAGAAGATTTAGTTCAAAAAAGACTAAAAGATTAATAACCTCTGACTGAATTTGCTCCTGTGCTTTGGGTTATTAAGCTTGAGGTAATAATTTAAAAATTAAACAAGTTAAAATTAAGTAAGAACCCCAACACGCATATATACCTTTAAAAAGTCCAAGAGGCATCTCTTTTGATTTTGTTCACAGTGCCAGAAAAACAAACTAAATCTTTAACTGAGGAATACAAAGTTATGAGCCAGCCAAATTCAAATAAAAGAATTCTGACAACCTTAATAGCCAACAAAAAAGCCTGTTTGAATAAATTATGCTATGTACATACAGGTTATGGACTACTACGCAGCTATTAGATATGATTTAAAAGAATACTTAATGATACGAAGACATGTTAATGATACAGTTAAATGAAATGTAGTATACATAATTGGTATTTTTATAGACAAAGTCTCTGTTTATTTCCTTAAAATGAAAAAAAGCGGGGGGAGGGAGGTGTGCCTGGCTGGATCAGTTGGTAGAGCATGTGACTCTGGATCTCAGAGTTGTGAGTTCAAACCCCATGTAGGGCATGGAGTCTGCTTTAAAAAATAAAAAGACTAGAGCCAAACATTAGGTGGAAGAATTACCCAAAATTTTAATATTCTTCAGGCTTATCTGTAGTTTCTAAAATTTTAAAAAATAAATTCATATTACATACATTATAAGAAAAAGACTGTCATTAAAAAATTCTTTTGAAGAGTTGTCAAAATGTCCTCAAAGCGTAAGAGGCCATACTACTCAGCATATATGATGTGCCTTACGTTTATTATAAAGCAGGGGTTTTTAGCCAAGGGCAGTTCTGCTCCCTAGCAAATGTCTGGCATCTACTGCGTACAAGTCATGGATACTGTTAAACATCCTATAATATACAGGACAGCCCCAACAACAAGGAATTGTCCGGCCCAAAAAACACTAATACCAAGGTTGAGAAATCCTGTTCTAAAAGATTAGCTAAAATGATGGGAAAGAACTTCCTCCCTAGAGCCTGTTTAATCCTCAACTTCTCTGTTATGACTGTTGACAAGAAGGTAAATTAATTCTGACAGAAACATGGCCAGCCATCTGTTGGATTGGTCTAATTCAATTCTCTTCATGTTTCCAAATCAACCTCAGCTATAAAGGGTCTCAGCACTTCCCTGGGTCACATTCTAAACGCAGCCCGACAAACAAAAGCATGCAGCTATCTTTTCATGTGAAAAAGCCATGTCCCCACTCCCACTCCCATCAATATTTTGTTCCTGAACATTTTAGTCAAGTGGGAGTTTATTATTACAAATTAGTAGAAGCTCTAAAATGTGTCATACTTCTGTTTATCCCAATGTCATAAGCAAAACTCCATTTTCTTCAAAGTCTCATTCAGTAAAGCATAAGATTATTTGCCAAAGGCAAGATTCCAGGAACCAAACAGGGAGCTATTTCTTGGATCTTAACTCTATCCTTTGGACAAGCTTAATTTATATACTAGAATCTCCTTGTCTACTGTCATGGAAATTTTTAAAAACAAAAGAAACAGTAGAAATAAGCCAAACCCACGATAAGATTTCCAAAGTCTAAGAGAACTGCAGCCACAGAATGAATACAAAGTCAACAAGAAAAACACCAGATTTTTTTCACAAGTGGCAAAAGAGCCTGAGAAATGGAAAGAGATGTTCTGACCTCACTGGCCAGTCCTAAGAATCTGGTTCCAGAGCAAACGTGTACCAGGGTGTACACAGAAGGTTATGGCCAGAAAAGCAGGCGAAAGGGGAAGATTTGAAGAAATGGCTCATTTTTCTGAAATCCTTAAGCCCGGTTCCTGTTTATTCTAGCTCCAATTTTTTTCTCACTGTCAGAGTTCATCTCTAGATCAAAAAACACAGGGAGAATGATAAGCACAAAGACTCAGTCTTTGAACCCAGAGGATTTTTGGTACTAGGAACCATCATGCAACTCTGCAAAATAATGTACTATTATTTTACAGTTCTCTACATTTACAGCACATAGTCTATAAAACCATACCAACAGCAATATTCCAACATACGTGAGGATTTGGTTCCATAGTGATTCTTGAATAAGTGTAAGGAAGTTCTCCATACCATGCTGTAAGTCTTGGTTGCTTGTAAGTTACATCTAAGAAAGAAAATACAGGGCCTTTGAAGTGGTTTAATGCTATTTAAGGCGCCTCCTGAGTGCCATGCAATGTGCAAGAAACTACGAGAAACACAAAGGCAGAGTAAAGATGAGCTCTGACTCAGGGTTCTACACATTCTTAGAAGACATGGGATTTCAGGAGTAGAGTGACTCAGAGTTCAAGGAAGACAAGAGAAGGTATGCTGGCACAAACCACAGCAGCAAAAGCTCTGAGGTGAGAGTATACATGACTTGTTTGTGTCAGTGAGGACATAAGTAAGAGTGGAGTCAGGGGCGCCTGGGTGGCTCAGCTGGTTAAGCAACAGCCTTTGGCCCAGGTCATGATCCGGGAGCCCCAAGATTGAGTTCCACGTTGGGCTCCCTGCACAAGGAGTCTCCTTCTCCCTCTGACCCTCTCCCTTCTCATGATCTTTCTCTCGCTAATAAATAAAATCTTTAAAAAAAAAAAAAAAAAGAGTCACACTGCAGAACAGTTCAGATTAGAGAGGGTCTAAAAAATGCAGGTTATGGAGTCTGAACCCTTGTAGGCAGGAATCTGTGGCACCAACATCCACACAAAACATGACACACTGTTCATCCACGTGCCACCTTTTGATTTTAAGAAAAAAGGGTTCTGACCAACCACAGCACAAAGCTGATAGTAGTCAGAAGTTTTTGATGTCCAATTTATCGAGAAGGGAGTTATTCATAGATCTGCTGTTTTTCCCCACAAATGAAATCAACTGCTATAATAAGAACAATAATGATAAAGGCAGCTAACATTCACCGAAGGCTTACTATGTACCAGTCATTCTGCTAAGCACTTATCATGCTGTATCTCATTTAATTATCACAACACCCTTAACGAGGTAGGTATTATTATTAGACCATTTTACAGATCAGAAAACCAAGAATCGGAAAACTATTTAACTAGAACTTGCTTAAAATTAACAATTACTTTGAACGGCAAGGCCAGCGATCAACGCCAAGCTGGCCACCAAAGCCCTCCTGTGGAAACTCTGGGAGTCAGGAGAAAAAGTGGATTCCTATTCTGATGTCGGAGTCACAAAAATGAAGTCTGTATACTTTGCCTCTTTCTTTACAGAAAATTTGAATTCGTTCAATGTGCCAGAAAGGAAATTTTATGTTAGAGCACAGACGTCCTCCAGTGGCCACCTCTGGTATAGCAGATACTGTTGGCTTGTGGATGCCCACAAAGGGGCAGGTTCCAAGCCAGGCAATCTTTACAAACTCCCAGAGCACAAATGCTGAAACTAAAGGACACTGGACTCCTCTAATGAAATGAAAATGAAAATAAAAAGCCGGTAATAAGGATCATAAAAGAACATATGCCAAATGGAATCAGAAAAAGAAAAGCTCTGGAAGTTTCTATGGAGAAAGAGGAAAACTGTCACTATTTAAAGTAATAAAGGTAATGAACAAACTCAAAAAGAGAGATATCAACCACAGTTCAGCCAAACCAAACATCCTTTGGTTGCTTGAATCCCACCTCCATGCTCCTGCCCTGTTCACTCTGATCTCTGAGCCTGCTGTCTGCTGTTTCTTCTGCCTAGTATACTCTTCCTTGTCCCTTTTGATTGGCAAATCCCTACTCATCTTTAGGATCCCTGTTAGGTTTTAAATCTGTTTACTTAGGACTGGGCATAGTGAAAAAGGCAACGGTATCAGAAAACATTCTAGAAAGGGAGACTAGGCAGCAACAAGTACGATCTCAGACATCTACTTACCGTCTCTGATGCCAGTCCTCTGTTTCCAGGGAACGACCTCACAAAGCTGTTCCAATACCCAGTCAGCTTCTTTTAAGTTAATAAAGCCAGGATACAAACACACCCTTGATGCAGAAAGAACCATTATTAACTAAGTCATTGTTATAACTAAATATAACTAAAATATAACTAAATATAAATATTTATATAAATATATAAATAATTACAACTGAACATAACTAAATAACTAAACCATTATTAACTGAAGAATACAAAAAGAGGGGAGTCTGGGTGGCTCAGTCAGTTAAGCATCCAATTCTCAATTTCGGCTCAGGTCATGATCTCGGGGTTCTGGGATCCAGCACCCCCATCAGGGGCTCAGTGTGGAGTCTGCCTGAGATTCCCTCTCTCCCTTTGCTTCTCCCCCTGCTCATGCACACTCTCTCTCACTCAAAATAAATAAAAATCTTTTTTTTTTTAATAAATAAAAATCTTAAAAAAAAAACACAGAGAAGATGAGCTAGTCTCTAACCATTAGTGAAGGAAGTTAATCTGGATGTTTCCTCATGGGTAGGTGAAATCATCTTACATCTCTCATGGCAAAACCTAATTATCACCAGGTCATGATGTTCCACATGTGAAATAAACGTTCACGTTAGGACAAATAAAAGAGGCAATAAAGGAAAAATAATGCATGAGGGCTTTTAGAGACATGATTCAAATACTGCTCTACCACCACCTGCTGTGAAACCTTGGGCAAATTATTTAACTTCTCTGAACTTTGGTTTTTCTTATCTGTAACACAAAAATGATATCTGCCTCATAGGCTCACTATGGAACGTAGAGTAATTAATAAAATGCCTGGCCCTGTGTTATTTTAACAATTGGTTGTCTTCTGAGACTAAGCCAAGTAGGGAAAAGGATCATTTATGACTCTATCAAAATAAACATTTCCAAATGAGGGTTCTTTCTCTCACTGAATATACACTTACTTCAGTAATGTCAAATCAGCTCAAAATCATTTTGGATATCCTTCTTAAGAAATGTTCTCAGGGTGCCTGAGTGGCTCAGTGGGTTAAAGCCTCTGCCTTCGGCTCAGGTCATGATCCCAGGGTCCTGGGATCAAGCCCCACATCGGGCTCTTTGCTTGGCAGGGAGCCTGCTTCCTCCTCTCTGTCTGCCTGCCTCTCTGCCTACTTGTGATCTCTGTCAAATAAATAAATAAAATCTTTAAAAAAAAAAAAGAAATGTTCTCAAAGCCCTTGGAACATTCTGCTGAACTTCACTCTCTGAGGGTGTGTCTGATTTTTTTAAAGAGCCAAAGCTCACCTGAAGCCACGTCTGGTTAACAATGAGATGCGACCAAAACAATGCAACTGGGTTTCTTGTGTGACTGTTAAACTGGCTTTGAAAGGGAGGTTCTGAAGCTCTTTGTAAGCAATGCATTCAGATATGCAAGTTCAGATACATTTATTTTAAATGCTTCATTATTTTATAGTGACAATAAGTATATTCTTGAATTAAGGGGATATTTTTAAAAAATTTTTTTAAGATTATATCTATTTATTTGAGAGAGACAGAGAGAGCGTGTGCAAGCAGAGGAAAGAGCAGAGGGGGAGGGAGAAAGAAGCTCAAGCCGACTACATGCTGACCCTGACCCAGCGATCCTGAGATCACGATCCGAGCCAAAACCAAGAGGTGGACACTTAACCAACTGAGCCACCCAGGTATGCCTCAAAATGCTTTTAATAATGATTAATGCCATCGATACCCTAAGTTGTATATGCTTTACCTTTACTAAAACTTATCTTAATGTAGATTAAGATATTGACCCACTCATGTAGATTAAGGGTTAACATAACTTAATATGTTGCATATAAATATATGCAGTAATATGATTAATACGATAATGAATGTAGTAATACATATAATGTAACGTAATAAAATGTAGCACCCGGAGCATAGAAGTGAAGGCTAGATCAACTCGAATTTTAAGTTACTATGTGGCACTAGGAAAAAGTCCTCAATCTCCTTGGCCTGCATTTCCTCATCTAAAAAATTACAGAAGTAACAGTTACCATACCTGACGGAGAGGCTATGAAAATGTTCTGAAGTTATAAATGCTATATAAAAAGAGATATTACACACCCAAGAATTTCAGAGGCAGAAGTTACCTATTTCATGTCAGGGAACAGAATATTTTAAGAGACTATAATTTGATTATAATTACAGTCACTTTCTAGGGAGGATGCACTTACCTAGATGTGCCTGTGGGTGACATGCTGATTTCATACACACCCTCTTTGCTACAGAAATTAAGAAAACAGACTCATTAGTATCAGGCAAATAATAAACTCCCCCAGTGGGAGAGCTGTGCTTTGCAGCTCCCCAACTTCCGGTCACCTACACCATTTCAGCATGAGCACGCACTGTGAGGGACGCACATCCCCACCTCTTCCACTACTGAGATGAAGGGCAAGATGGTGGCAGATTACCGATGTCACTGGGAACTGAATCTTGAGGGGATCAGGCCATGGAGACAAAGACAGGGATAAAATAAATTCCAATTCTACCCCTTTATATTTCACCCATAATTTAGGCTGATAGGGTCCAGAGATCTATCATAAAGGGGTACCAAAGAGAGCATCTCTTTGGACACTCTGGAATAGGTGCATTTACACTAGGCAAATACATCTCAGAGCTCTGAGCTTCTGCTGCTTTCAGATACATGTCTAATGAGGTTCCCACTCTGATGAACATCCTTCAAAGGCTCCCCACCAACTTTTCAGCATTGTATTCAAGGTCCCCATGATGTAGCTCCACTTCCTGACAGCTCCCACTCACTCATGATCCTCCACTACTGTTTGGAATCTCCTAAATACACCACAGTATTTTTTCTTTCTTTATTTTATTTTATTTATTCAAAAGCAAGCAAGCACTAGCAGGGGGAGGGGCAAAGGGAGAAACAGACTCCCTCTGAGCTGGGAGCCCAACATAGGGCTTGATCCCAGGACTCCAGGATCATGACCTGAGCCAAAGGAAAACGCTTAACTGACTGAGCCCACCCCGGTGCTCCACACCACGGTATTTCTAATCCTGCTTTCCTACAAGTTGAAATGCTTCCCTGCCATCCAGCACCCCCAATCCAACCCACCTGAGCTTTAGTCTGGGAGAAAATTCTAATTCATTCCTCAACATCGCAGTTCAGCCTCACCTTCTGTAATGCTTTCCTGACCTCTAATCCGCCCAAATAATGTTAACCATCTCATCCTCTGTGCTACCACTAGACCCTACTATAATTCTACTGTTTTACAACATACATGACTGCAATTTCTTATTACATGTCTATTTCATTTACTAAACTGTGGGCTACTGAGGGGCAAGGAATAGGTTACTGTTCTGTTTCCCAGTGCCTTGCACATTGTAGATGGGCAGTAAAAGCTCAGAATTTAATCAAATGTGAAAAAGTACAAAACTGTTCCAGAAGTGCAGCATGGCCAGGTCCACAGTGAGAAAACTGATCCAGACTGCATAGGTTCCTGTACCAGCATAACAGTCAGACCCTTCCTGGACAGAGCTCAGTTACAGAGAACATAAAGGGACAGTTTTCACATCACCCTCTGCCATGTGAGTTAGTAGTTCGTGATCTGTGAGCTGGGCTCTTGGGCAAATGTGAGAGCGCCTCCGAGCAAAAATGTGGGCAGGATTATTGTTATATACATTTATGACATCTCTAGATGGTCTCCCCCGCCCCACCCCCGAGTGTAAATTACAATGTTTAATTGCAATTGTAAATTACAATTACAATGTTTCAGTGTGATAGGTTTTGGGCCATGTTTAGAAATTGGCTCACTTTAGGGACGCCTGGGTGGCTCAGTTGGTTAAGCAGCTGCCTTCGGCTCAGGTCATGATCCCAGCGTCCTGGGATCGAGTCCCACATCGGGCTCCTCGCTCGTCAGGGAGCCTGCTTCTCCCTCTGCCTCTGCCTGCCATTCTGTCTGCCTGTGCTCGCTCTCTCTCCCTCTCTCTCTCTGACAAATAAATAAATAAAATCTTTAAAAAAAAAAAAAAAAAAAAAAAGAAATTGGCTCACTTTAAACATGGGTGACATTTTTGGCTATTAAATAAGAATCTAAGGAGCAAACTTTAGATAACCAGAATTAACAAACCTTGGGGTCAAGCAGGAACTTCTGTCATTTTGCTCTGACCTGAATATTCACAACTGCCCATTTTTTCAGCCTGAATGTCCCATCCGTACCTAGTAATAAGTTTCATGGTTTTTTATTCTCTTTATCACCAATGGAGGCAATGTCACATGGTGTTCACAAACGAATCCAAGACTGTGAGAGCCACCAGACTCTGCTTAAATGATCCTATCGTCCAAACCTTTAATGTTACAGACAAAGAAACTGAAGTTCAGAGAGATGGCCTTAATGTACCTAAGGACTAGATACATAGCTAAATAGTGGCCAGGCCACAACTATACACCCTCTTTGAAAGTATGATGACATTCCTGGGGCGCCTGGGTGGCTCAGTGGGTTAAAGCCTCTGCCTTCGGCTCAGGTCATGATCTCAGGGTCCTGGGATTGAGCCCCGCATAGGGCTCTCTGCTCAGCAGGGGAGCCTGCTTCCTCCTCTCTCTCTCTGCCTGCTTGTGATCTCTGTCTGTCAAATAAATAAATTAAAAAATAAAAATAAAAAAGTACGACGACATTCCTGTTTCAAATTTTTCCTGGGCTTACAAGTCAACCTGGAAATAGCCAAGCAGTCTAACAGACTATTCCTGGGCAGGAAGAAAGGGAGAGAATCTCAAGCAGGCTCCAACTCTTGACTGAGCACAGAGCCTGATGTGGGGCTCAATTTCACCACCCTAAGATCATGACTTGAGCAGAAATCAAAAGTTGGCCACTTCACTGAGCCACTCAGGCACCCCACAAAGCATCTTTCATTAATTTTGGAAAAGAGTATTTTATATACAGATCAGTGTAAGAGGAACTATAAATTAAAGATGACATTTTTATATACAGATCAACATAAGAGGAAATGAAACTGCTCTGGAACAATTATACGAGAATTTAAGGCCCTCTAGATTTCCAGCAGTTTTCTTTTGTTAAGTGTTGCTAGTAAAATAGTACCTGATGAAAGTCTTCTTAAAAGGCCAGTTTCAGGCGCGTCTGAGTGGCTCAGTGGGTTAAGCCGCTGCCTTCGGCTCAGGTCATGATCTCATGGGTCCTGGGATCGAGCCCCGCATCAGGCACTCTGCTCAGCGGAGAGCCGCCTGCTTCCCCCTCTCTCTCTGCCTGCCTCGCTGCCTACTTGTGATCTCTATGTCAAATAAATAAATAAATAAAATCTATTAAAAAAAAAAAAAAAGGCCAGTTTCAGGGCACCTAGGTGGCAAAGTCAGCTGAATATCCGACTCTTAGTTTTAGCTCAGGTCATGAGCTCAGGGTCTTGAGATCAAGCTCCGTGTGGAACTCTAAGCTCAGTGAGGAGTCTGCTAAAGTTTCTCTCTCCTTCTCCCTCTGCCCCTCCCTGTGCGTGCTCTCTAAAATAAATAAATCTTAAAAAAACAAAAACAAAAAACACCGTATTTCAATGACTCAGGAAAAATCCCGCTCTGTCTTTACCTAGGAGATATTTTAGCTTACTGTCTGCAGATCTTAATGAATCAGGGTCAGGAAATCCACACCAGAATCACAGTTTAAGGTACAAGTATCTTCTTGCATTTTCCACACCATCAGCAAATTGAGCAAGGCTTCCCAAAGGACCAAGTTTAAAGACGTCTAAGATACAACTATCCCAACCTAAAATTAATACAGTAACTGGGCCCTTATCTCTTTCAGATGGAAAACCCAGTGAGGGAAAGATCTGGGCTCTCCATTTTCCTGTGGGCAGCAAATACAGAAAGGCAACAAATTACTTACTCAATTACTCGTGGCTCTGGAGCTCTGCGTACTACCTGCAAGGAAACAGGCAGATTTTACTTCTGGAATGATCCCTAATCCTCAGAAAGGCTTATGTGCAGGACTACCACATCTTCTCATTTCTGATAAAAATAAGTCAAGTTTAAAACTATCCCTTTTTTTAATTTCAAGCTTTTACAATCCTACCAGAGACCCTTGTCTGCTTTTCTTAGAACTATTTCACAGTTACTAGCGGGCAAGAAAAAATAATAAAAGTAGAATTAATCCACTTTCAAAGCAGCCAGTAATTCTGGAAAAACCTTCTTTCCAGGCAACTATTTATTTATTTATTTTAATTATTTTTCCAGGAAAACTTTTTAAAATAGAAGACATACTGGGGTGCTTAGGTAGCACAGTTGGTTGAGCATCAGACTCTTGGTTTCGGCTTAGGTCATGATCTCAGGTTGTAAGATTGAGCCCTGCTTGGGCTCCGTGCTCAGCACAGAGTTGACCTCAAAGATTCTCTCTTCCTCTGCTGAGTCATGCACATGCATGCTCTTTCTCTTAAATTAATTTAATTAAACCTTTAAAAAATAAAATACAAGATAAACTAAGAAATAAATTTTAATCATTATTTACACAATCACTATTACAGCAAGATGACAAATTTTTAGCTTTTTCCATGTTATTAACAACAGTGAATCTTCACTGTTTCTTACAATTTTTCCCCATGGGGGGAAAAAAAGGCTAAAAAATCAGGCATTGTAGTAGCTGAAAATTTCAACCCAATCCGGAGACATCTGCTAAAGACACTAGCACTAAAGACAGCATGGTTTGTTAGAACCATGTTAGAACTCAGACAACGAATGCAAGTGCTAATCACGGTATAACCTCCTTCCCCCCAAAATGGGAATTATACTTGCCCATCAGTTGGGAGCAGACTATAAAGAATCTTCAGACATACTAAGGAACTGATATGCCACATTTCATTATAAGTAAAGGCCTTTCACCTTCCTTTCATTAGTGAATTCAGTCACTACTGGAGTGTCTACTATGTGAATATAGCTTTTACAAGCAAATCTGTTAGCACTGTAGGAGAATTAAGAACTTACTTGCTGGGGTTCTTTGAACACAAACTGTCTGTCTGAAAGGTGACGCTCCTTGCTCATCCATGTGTGACCAGGTCTCTGGAGGAGACGGCTCTTAGCAGGGGGGGCTGAAACGAGCAAGAAGGGGCGTGAAACAGACTCAAAAAGTCTGCTCTAGGGAGCAAGGGCCAATAAAATCCAGCTGAAGATAACCGATATGACACTTAGAAATTAATGAGTAAAGTCTGTCGGAGATCCCACTACACACACTGAAAGGTGGGAGAGCTGTGACAAAATCCGAGGAACACTATACCTCAACCGCCAATAAAAGATGACCACCAGGGGGACGCCTGGGTGGCTCAGTTGGTTAAGCAGCTGCCTTTGGCTCAGGTCATGATCCCAGCGTCCTGGGATCGAGTCCCGCATCGGGCTCCTTGCTCGGCAGGGAACCTGCTTCTCCCTCTGCCTCTGTCTGCCATTCTGTCTGCCTGTGCTCGCTCTCTCTCCCTCTCTCTCTGACAAATAAATAAAATCTTTAAAAAAAAAAAAAAAAAAAAAAAAAGATGACCACCAGTGGGGCACCTGGGGCTCAGACGGTTAGCGTCTGCCTTTGGCCCAGGTCATGATCGAGCTGGGATCAACCTGGGATTGAGCCCTACATTGGGCTCCCTGCTCAGCAGGGAGCCTGTTTCCCCCCTACTCTGCCTACTGCCTACTGGTGATCTCTCTAATAAATAAATAAAATCTTAAAAAAAAAAAAAAGATCATCAAGAAAATCAAGGCATCAGCTACACTTTAAATAACTCCTTAACATCAACTGAAATACAAGTACATTCACACAAGATCCCCACGAGTTCTTGCCTGGCTGAGCAGGGGCCTGGCTCTTAAGGGGACCAGCCCAGGCTCCCTGCACTCGGGCTCGCTGTCTTTTGTCCTCCATATTGACCAAAAACGCTTCTGCTCTTAGCTTTCAGATTTCATTCCTGATTAAAACCACACGAGGGTATCTGTTTGGGGAAAAAAAAGTGCTTTTAGTTAGGATTGTGAGTGTGAACCACCTAAGGAAGTCATTATAATCCTTTCAAGCTCAATGCAATCGGAGAGTCTATACAAAATTAATTTCTGTCATCACATCTCAATCAAGGAGCCTACTAAGTCATTTAGAACTGCAGGTTTTAACGTTCATTTTTGCAATCTTATAGAACCTTTTTTTTCCCCCCAAGAGAGAATGAGCGTGCATTGGTGGTGGGGTAGAAAAGAGAGAGATTCTTTTTTTTTTTCCCTTCACCATAGCACATACCCTCCCCAATGTCCATCACCCAACCACCCCATCCCTCACCCCCCTCCCCTCCAGCAACCCTCAGTTTGTTTCCTGAGATTAGGTCTCTTAGGTTTGTCTCCTTCTCTGGTTTCATCATCATTCTTCCCCCACTTCCCCTATGATCCTTTGTCTTGTTTCTCAAATTCCTCTTATCAGTGAGATCATAATTGTCTTTCCCTGATTGACTTATTTTGCTTAGCATAATACCCTCTAGTTCCATCCACGTTGTTGCAAATGTCAAGATTTTGGGGGTTTTGATGGCTGCGTAATATTCCATTGTATATATACACCACATCTTCTTTATCCATTCATCTCTTGATGGACATCTAGGTTCTTTCCATAGTTCGGTTATTGTGGACATTGCTGCTATAAACATTTGGGTGCCTGGGCCCTTTCAGATCACTACGTTTGTGTCTTTAGGGTAAATACCCAGTAGTGCGATTGCTGGGTCAGAGGGTAGCTCTATTTTCAACTTTTTGAGGAACTTCCATACTGTTTTCCTGAGTGGCTGCACAAGCTTGCATTCCCACCAACAGTGTAGGAGGGTTCGCCGTGGAGAGAGAAAAATCTTAAACAGATTTCACGCCTGGTGCAGAGCCCATGCAGGGCTCGATCTCACCACCCTGAGATCATGACCTGAGCCAAGATCAAGAGTCAGACTGAGCCACCCAGGCGTCCCAATGTACATTTGCTTCTAACAGTACATTTGCTTCTTTCCCAAGAAAGTACAGGTTAAGAAACTCTAAGATCTATCATAAACGACATTAGTCTTAGTAGTGTCAAAGAAACTGTAATATTCTCTCACCTATACGGATACTGAGAAATAGCTCAGACTCCGTTTCCAAGGGCACTTCCATATTCCGTTTTAACTGGCTATATCAAACTTCCCTGGAAGCGTATTAAAAAATACCCATGTGGTTGGGGCGCCTGGGTGGCTCAGTGGGTTAAGCCTCTGCCTTTGGCTCAGGTCATGATCTCAGGGTCCTGGGATCGAGCCCCGCATCGGGCTCTCTGCTCGGCAGGGAGCCTGCCTCCCCCTCTTTCTCTGCCCACCTCTCTACTTGTGATCTCTCTCTCCTTGTCGAATAAATAAATAAATAAATCTTAAAAAAAAATACCCATGGTCTGTCTCAGAATGGATCCACCTCAGGATGGATCCAAGTGTTCGTTTTGCGACAAGCATCGTGGGAGATGGTGCTAAGGGGGCACAGATGATGACTACAAGGTTAAGCGGCTCACCCAGAGTCACTTGGGAAGTCAACAGGAGGTAGATTAACATTCAAACTTTATTAACTTCCAGTTTTCAGTCAACTGAAAAAAAAAACCACTTCCTAATACTCAGCAATACTAATTTGGCATTTCTGCCATTAAAATTTTAGCTCACAGCAAATACAGAAGCACAGCTACTAAAAAGACCAACACAGGGAGGTTCAAGCCACATGTTCTGAACCTATGATCCGTTTCTTTATTGCTCTAAGAAAGCTTCACATTTCAAGTCCTCGCAGGTGACAAGCTCGTTTTATGGCTTATCTAGCATTCCAATGTCCAGACCTTCCCCAGACCTTCTGAGCTGAGGTGAGCCCAGGAATAGGTACACTGAACAAATTTCCCCAGGTGATAAACATACCATTCCTTCTCCGTTAATAGGTAGGGAGATGACGGAGACTGCCATCTGCCCCAAAAGAGCTAATGGCAGAGTCAAATGCCAACCCTCGACACCCACAAGATGTGTAGAGACAGCTTACATTTACTTTCTCTCAACGGGAGGGTCAAAAGCTCTGAACACCCGTAGCTGTAGTCCTCGCTCTGTTCCCAAGGGAGAAGTACGCTGTTATGGGCCAGGGCACAGCTGCTGAAAAGAGAGATTTCAGAGCCCCAACCCAGACCTAACCGATGTTGTGGCCCAGAAACTGCTAAGCAAGCCCACCTTCCACCCCGGGGTTCTTCCCCCACATAAAGCTCGAGAACCCCGCAGAAGGCAAACGCCGAGAGCTCGGGCGCCAGCCTGACTCGCTCCGAATCTAAATCTGGCAGCTCCCGGCCGCATGACCGGTCAGCTGACTTCACCTTTCCCGGCCCGAGTTTCTTCCTCTGTAAAGAGCGGGACCAAGACCTCTCTCGCGGCTAAAGCGCAGATCAGGAGATCCTCGGCGGTGAAAAAGCCTGGTCCTCAAGCAGCGCTTGCAACTTGCCCTATTTTCGAGTCTTATCTTCCAGGAGCCCCGGGACGCGGTCCTGGAGGTCGACGCGGGAGGATCCTCAGGGGGCGGTCCCCAAAGGCCCAGCCGCCCAGCGGGGAGCGGGGACCCCACAGCAGCCGGCGGAGCCGGCGCGCAGGTACAAACCCACCCGGTCCTGGAACGAACCCCGCTGGCCCAGACCCGCGTCGCCACCGGCTGTCGGGGAACCTTAACAGTGGAACACCGACTCCGACCGCTCGCAACCACAGGCCGCGGCGTCAGGAATTTCCTCTGACGTCACGCGCCGCCGCCACTACTTCCGGCGCCGTTAGCTGGAGTCCGGGCAGCTACGTGTTCCCTGAGGCGAGAGGTCCGGCTCGCTGAAGGTGCAGATAAGGGCCGGCATAGGAGCCGAGCGCGGACTGAAGGTGCGATAGGAGCCGGGTCGGCAGCCAGGACATGGCGAAGGTGGGAATGAAGACGCGTTTCATAGGCCAAGGTCCTTCGGGCCATAATCCACCCCCCTCGCTCCCAAACCAAGCCGGAGACATCTAAGTGCCCGCAACCTTGGTCTCTGTGGAAAGAGTGACTGGGTCCCAGCGGGGCTGGGGGAAGGGCGAGGGGGTTGGGAAACCAGGTCGTGATGTGCGAAGTAAAAGGATTTGAATTTTACCCTGGAAGCCCTGGAAAGTGTAACAGGCACTTCCTTTGCGTTCCCACCGCAGCCCGTGCGTCTTTCCATCAACAGCACAGCAGGGCTTGGGACCTTCTCCTTCATGGCTCTCCAGTGCTTAACCACGTGTTGCTTGAGCCAGACGACACCACTTACTGGATGTAAAATCTAGGGCAGGTACTCCACTTCTTTTCTTTTCTTTTTTTTTTTTTAGATTTTTTGTATTTATTTGTCAGAGAGCAAGAGAGAGAGGGAGAGAGAGAGCACAAGCAGGCAGAGCAGCATTCAGAGGGAGAAGCAGGCTTCCTGCTGAGCAAGGAGCCCGATGTGGGACTCCATCCCAGGATTCTGGGATCATGACCTGAGCTGCAGGCAGCCGCTTAACTGACTGAGCCACCCAGGTGTCCCGGTACTCCCCTTCTTTAGGAAATGGCATAGCTCTTGTTGGGAGAGTTACCTGTGGTAATGCATGTAAAGAATGTAGCAGGGTCCTTGGAATACAATAGAAATTCAATTAATATTAAGAGTGTCTTGAAAGGGGCGCCTGGGTGGCTCAGTGGGTTAAAGCTTCTGCCTTCAGCTCAGGTCATGATCTCAGGGTGCTGGGATCGAGCCCCGCATCGGGCTCTCTGCTCAGCAGGGAGCCTGCTTCCTCCTCTCTCTCTCTCTCTGCCTACTTGTGATCTCTGTCAAATAAAAAATAAACAAAATCTTAAAAAAAAAAAAAAGAGTGTCTTGAAAAATAAAAAATAAAATAAATTTGGGCACCTGGGTGACTCAGTCAGGTAAGCTTCTCCCTTGGGCTCAGGTCATGGTCCCAGAAACCTGGGATGGAGCCCCACACATTAGGCTCCCTGCTCAGTGGGGAGTCTACGTCTCCCTCTCCCTCTGCTGCTTCCCCTGCTTGTGCTGTCTGTCTCTCTCTCTTTCTCTCTCTGTCAAATAAAATATTTTTCAAACATAAAATTAAAAATAAATAAATTTGACCAGTGGGTCAAAGAGTGTCTTCTTTTCACCGCCTCCGAGTTTCTGAGAAGCATCTTTAATATGGCCGTATTAAACCATGTATCGTACAGTGTGGAAATAGAAAAAATAGCACTGAATTGACTTTTGTGCAGCCTATTCTCTAAGATCTACCAAACAACAGTCACTGTCGGAGTCCTTAATATAAGTCTTGCATTATATCCTGCTTACCTGCAAAAGCTCAGTGTATCCCACAAATCTAATTTTCACAGCATCCATCATTCTTTTGTTATCCTTTGTGACACTGAAGGAAAATTATTTATCCTAGAACTGAAAGAAGAGAAAAGTGGTAAGGGCAGACTATAATTTTTATCCTTTTTTTTTTTTTTTGGTCCCCATCAACTAGTAATTTCTCAGTGTCTGTTTCTGGTTCAGGAACCTTGGCTGTGTCTTCCAAAGGATGTTATTTCTTTCTTTTCAGTGATTATGGTTTTGGAACAAGGACAAAGGAGTTTGGATTGAGGAGTCCCTAAAAGTAGTGATTAACACCTTTTCAGCCTCCACGTAGAACATTTCTCAAAAATCCATCCATGGCTTGCTTGCATCCAAAATAACTGCATTTTTAACAAAATCACTTGCTTTCTTACCAAGTGTTCAGGGTGATTTGGATGCAGAGAAAGTTTAGAAACCTTCAAGATGCCTGTAGGGTGACAAATCATTCCCATTTGTCTGATACTGAGAGGTCTTCCAGGACATAGGACTTCAAATGCTAAAGGCAGAAAAGAACTGGGCAACTGACATGGTTGGTTATGCTAGATACATGTTAGTATGTAGTATTAGAAAGATGTTCTTTGTGAGTCTTATATCATGGGTTTCCCCATTTCTATAGGCAGTGTTTGTGTTTTTTTCAGGGGGTGGTGGTGGAGACTGTGGGAGAGGGAATGAAAGTGAGGTGTCTTGTCAGTTATCAGCCCAAATCTTGCCAGATTCTCAGCTCCAAACCCATCCTCCACTACCCTGCTTGCAATACTGGAACATTTCTCCCTTGCCATTTGGTCCAATGTGAAACGTCATCAGTAGAGGGTGCTGGAGGGACATTAGAGGAGGAAAGGGTTCTTCCTGATTCAAGTGCTCCTTTCAGCTGTCTGTGCAATGCCGAGCAGCCAGCAGTGGTTGGCATCTCTCTGTGGGCTAAATCGCAATGTTAGTGACGTTGACAGCCTTGTTGAGTTCCTATTGTGAAGTTAAGGCATTGATCGGGAAGAAATGGGATCCCAAATTTTGAAATAGTGACATCTGCTTGGACCTAGAGGAAACTGATATCTCTTGGACACCCGAGTCACCCTGAACTTCCCATGGCAGTGGAAGTAGCTTGCTCTCCTGTGTCTGAAGACATGAGCAGTCCTTTGCTTGAAAACCCTGTGAAACCCTCACCTGGAGCAGATGACTTGAAATGCACAGCATAGATCTGAACTTCCTAACAGATGGGAGAGCACCCCCAGATTTGTGCCTTCCTTGGTGGTGGTGATGGTGGTGGTGGTGGTGGTGTGTGTGTGTGTGTGTGTGTGTGTGTGTGCGCGCACCCACATATGAATGCCTCTGCCTGGACCTAGATGCTGGTAGTGGCTCTTCCCTCTGTCTGCTGTTTCTGTATTCTTAGAATTTACTTTCCCCTTGTAGGTGATACCCTATTATGGTTATTAATTTTTCCCCTGAAACTATATAATTTCTGTCTCCTCTTTGATTCCTGTTACAGTGTGATTGTGATATCAGGGGTTGGAAGCAATAGCTAGCAAGTGGCTGGCCCCAGAGTTGCCCTGAAACTGTGAGCAATCGGTTTGGCTCTGATTTGGACACTATCAACCCTGGCCCTTTGCTCTCGTGTTGCTCTCTTGTTTTCCTTCACCCAAGACAGCCTTCTTAAAGTTGTGCTGAGCTGGTTGCCTTGCCTCTACTCTGAAACCAGCATTTCTCAGCTTATGGTTGGAAGACTATCTGCGTTGGAGTCCCTAGGGCATGCTTGTAAAAAATGAACATTCCAGGCTGCCCATCGAGATCCTGGGTTAGTGGGTCTGGGACAGGTCCAAGCAACTTGGATATTTAACCGTGCCTTGTTTCATCTTCCAAGAACCTGCCAGACTTCTACCTTTTCTAGCTGCCTACTTTCTGCAGGTGACTACTTCCCACTCAACAGATACCCCATCCCTTGGATGGCAAAACTGATAGATGCTTTTGAGGTGCTGGTAGCTTTTACCAAAAGGATTCTGAATGAGCTACACACTGCTGCTTATTTTCAGTTACTGATTTTCACACCAGACTCTTGCCAAACCTTGCCTGTTTTGATCATATGCTGCTTGTGGAGTGCCCGCTGAGAATTCTGGAGAAAATCCAATCCAGGGAAAATAATGGCACGTCATGCTAATAGCTTTCAGTGAAGGTACTACATAGAGAAATTCCCAGCCCGTGTCTCACTGCCAGAGGCTTAGCGGTTCCCAGCTTGAAGTGGGGGGAGAGTGGGGCAGGAAACTGTCAACTCTGCAGCGGGCGGGCAAGGAAGCTTTCAAGTCTCCACCAACTCTAACCAACATCGAGGAAGACAGGATGCTTCCCCAGACTCCAGACAGGAACTCCTCCCATTCAACACCCAGCACAATTACACAATTACAGATGCTGCTCAAGATAAAATCTACCAGTAAGCCATAGCACCAACTGTGAGGAACAATGAAAGAACAGCATAATCGGATGTGAAATTGTGGAGAGCGGACAAATATCAAGGACAAGAGAGGTGACTAGAGGTTACAGGCATCAGTGAAGGCATATGGCAAACAGGAAGTTATGTCAGAGTTTTAAACAGTATGGAGCATTCGGTGGCTAAGATATTGATAGTCACATCACTCCTAAAAAGAGCAGGCGCCATTTACGCATCTGATTTCTAAATAATAGCACATGATATTAACATTTCCTGAGAGCACGCCGAGTGATGCTGTAGTTATATGCATACACTGATCTAATTTTCTTAGTCCCAATTACAAAGGAAAAAACTAAACCATTATGCTACATGAGGCCACCGTGCCCTCTTCTGCAAATATGTGGCATATGCAAAGCCAAATTAGGAAAGACAGGACTATTCCTGGAATGATAGATGGCGCCATTTCCTGGGGCCTAATAGCTGGGTTCTTTTTTTTTTTTTTTTTTTTTTTAAGATTTTATTTATTTATTTGTCAGAGAGAGGGATAGAGAGCGAGCACAGGCAGACAGAGTGGCAGGCAGAGGCAGGGGGAGAAGCAGGCTCCCTGCCGAGCAAGGAGCCCGATGTGGGACTCGATCCCAGGACGCCGGGATCATGACCTGAGCTGAAGGCAGCTGCTTAGCCAACTGAGCCACCCAGGCGTCCCTAATAGCTGGGTTCTTTCAGAGACTTTGAAAGTGAAGGATTGGGCAGACCCTAGGTTATAAATCCTTCCTGATGGCTTTATCTAGATGGTTTAGAATCTGGTTTAGCAGATTCTTCTCTGAAGTCACCAAGTCCTCAGAAATAATGTGAACCACATTATTTCGAGTGTATGAACTGGGATGTCAGGCAAGTCTTGATTCAAATGTCATGAGTACTGACTG